AAAAAAAAAAAAATCTTTAGGGGTACCTGGGTGGCTCAGTTGGTTAAGTGTCTGACTCTTGATTTCGGCTCAGGTCATGATCTCAGGGTCATGAGATTTAGCCCGGCGTCAGGCTCCGTGCTCAGCAGGGAGTCTACTTGAGATTCTCTCTCTTTCTCTCTCTCAGATAAGTAAATTTTAAAAAATAAAATAAAAAATCAAATCTTTAAAAATAAATACCAGAATTTGGCTTCTAGGAGTACTCATAGCTATTGGCTTGCTCATTGTCTTTAGGCCTGAAGCTAGAACTAAGTAATAAATGTTGTTTATTTGTTTTAAGGATAAATCCTAAGTGCATGCTAATAGTTTTAATTCATATTTCAGACTGGAGAGTTTTTAATTTATATTTTATATCTTACACATCTATCATCTTTTCCTGTGCTGGAAAATTCAACTCATCACCTGAGCATAACTACTCATCAGCTTTAACCTGAAATACACACACAACAGCCTCAGAATAATACCACCAAGATCCCCAGTGATGGCGATTTAAAATTTGTATTTTTTTTTTATCCTAGGATGTGTACGCAGTATACTGTGTGTGGGTTTTTTTTTTTTTAAGATTTTTATTTATTTGACAGAGAAAGACACAGTGAGAGAGGGAACACAAGCAGGGAACACAAGCAGAGAAGCAGGCTCTCTGCTGAGCAGGGAGGCTGATGTGGGGCTCGATCTGACCTGAGCCGAAGGCAGACGCTTAACGACTGAGCCACACAGCCCCCACCAAAATACTGAGTTTTAAAGTTACTTGAAATAGGTGCTGTCTTTGTGCTTTTTCCTTCTGATTCAGTTCATAGTTAGGTTCCTTGTTTTCTATTTTACTTTTGATTTTTAGATACTGCTTTTTAAATTTAATTTTGTTTTATTAAATTATGAAAAAAACTTATGCTTCCAAAGTTAAATCTATAAAATAAGAACGATTCAGAGTGATTTTGCTTATATCCCTGTTCCTTCTTCCAAAGGGTAATAATTGTTTTTTGGTTTTATTTATTTATTTATTTATTTACCTACCTACCTACCTACAGATTTTATTTATTTATTTGACAGAGAGAGAGAGGGAACACAAGCAGGGGGAGTGGGAGAGGGAGAAGCAGGCTTCCTGCAGAGCAGGGAGTCCAACGGGGGGCTTGATCCCATGACCCTGGGATCATGACCTGAGCCGAAGGCAGACGCTTTAACGACTGAGCCATCCAGGCGCCCCCAGTTTCCTTTTTTAAAATATAAACAGCGGGGTGCCTGGGTGGCTCAGTCGTTAAGCATCTGCCTTCGGCTCAGGTCATGATCCCAGGGTCCTGGGATCGAGGCCCGCATCAGGCTCCTTGCTTGGCGGGAAGCCTGCTTCTCCCTCTCCCAGTCCCCCTGCTTGTGTTCCCTTGCTCGCTGTCTCTCTGTCAAATAAATAAAAGCTTAAAAAAAAAAAAAAATACAAGCAGTGGTGGATGAGAACCCAGATCTCTTGACTTCCCAGTCCAAGTGTTTTATGGGAAGAATAAAATCTTCTATATGTATTAACTCATTTACAGCCAGCCTTTGTGGTGGATAGTGTTAATGTTTCCACTGTACAGGTTTTACCTCTCCTTTCTTTCTTTTTTTTTTTCTTACGATTTTATTTATTTATTTGTCAGCATAAGCAGGGGGGAACGGCAGGCAGAGGGAGAAGCACGCTCCCCTCTGAGCAAGGAGCCCAACGCAGGACTCAGTCCCAGGACCCTGGGGTCATCACCTGACCTGAAGGCAGATGCTTAACCGACTGAGCCACCTAGGCGCCCCTCTCCTTTCTCTTTACTTCCATAGTATTGATTCTGTATTGATTCTGTATCTCTGTTATGGCATCTATTCTATCGATGCCATAAGCTCCTGAGGGCAGGGACTAGCACATTTGTGTTTGCTCTAAGTACCTAGCATACAGTGCCAGACATGAGGCGGACATTTAAATACATGTTGAGTAAATGAATAAGAGATTAAACAGTTCATTCAGGGGAAAAAGAAGATGGACTTTGGAGTAAAAGCATGGGAATTTAAAGTTGTAGTTCTGCCACGTGGAGTTGTGGCCAGTCTGCTTTAAAAAGTGCAGACATAAAAGTGGTTATCTCTTATCCCTTTCTGTGGAGCATAATTAGTTCAGATCTCTTGCAGGATCAAGACACCTGGAAATCTCTAATTCCTTGTCCTTCACTGTAATAGGCAATGAGAGGGCTGAGCCAAAAAGAGTGGGTGCATAGGCCCTGTGGTCAGAATTTTGGGTTTATCTTGGCTGTCATTGAGTATGTAGGTGACCTTGGGCAAAGTTATTCTTTGTGCTCAGTTTCCTCCTTTGTAAAATGAGGTAACAGTACCTACGTTAGAGGATTGTCCCAAGTTGGAAGCAGTTCACTGTTAAGTGCTCTATAAATATTTGCTGTTATTAGTCATAGTAGTAGTAGGGTTTATACCGTTTTGGTAAAGATTAAGACCTTTAAACATTTGAGGGTATGTGTTGGAATTTTCAGGAACACCCTACATTTGAAAATTTGCTGGAAGGACTCATAGGACTCAGTATATAGTTGTACTCTTGAGATGTGTTCTTGTCATGTAGTAAGGATACACAGCTGCATCATAAGGGAAGAGACAGGCGGAGTCTGTAGGAATCCATGTGTAGGCTTCCTCCTGCTCTCTTCTGTGAGAGGTCACACAGCACATTCTCCTTCCAGCAGCAAAAATGGAGCAACAAAGGGGCGCCTGGGTGGCTCAGTCGTTAAGCGTCTGCCTTCAGCACAGGTTACGATCCCAGGGTCCTGGGATCGAGCCCCGCATTGGGCTCCCTGCTCAGTGGGAGGCCTACTTCCTCCTCTCCCACTCCCCCTGTTTGTGTTCCCTCTCTCGCTGTGTCCCTCTCTGTCAAATAAATAAAATCTTTAAAAACAAAAAAAAAATAGGAGCAACATGTCTGTGATATTTCTGCCCAGAGAAGCCCATTAGAGGCTCAGCACCCAAGATTTTTATTGAGGGCTGGTCACGTAGGGATCCTCTACATTACATATAGCAAAATCCCGGATGCGCTAGAAGGAAAGCAGGTATTCAGCATAAACTGTAATGTTTGCATGAACAGAGAAGACACAGGGAGCCATTCTTACCAGTACACTGTTGACTGGGAGTACTCTGGGAGCCAAGTTCCCCGATACCTCCTGAGGGTCAACCTTGCAGGCTGGCCTTTCTGTGGATAGCAACCTATGCGGTCTTCAGTATTAACTCTTTTTTTGCACAGGGTAAAAAAATGGCACTGTCTGCCCCAGAATCAGATCATGATTATTCTGTGATACTGGATATGGAAGCTATGGTGGGTAATTCAAGTATCATTATTTTTGCTGTTTTTCTTTTCCAGAATGGCTTTGACTACTTGTTGACATACAGTGACAATCCCCAGACTGTGTTTCCTCGCTACTGCGTTAGCTGGATGGTTTCCAGTGGTGAGTGGGTACTTGTATACAGGGCCTGGAGCCTGGGTTGAGCATTTTGTTTTTCTCTAGCTCTAAATGGCAAGCAAGAGGATTAGTGCTTGTCTAATGGGAGCACTTCTGGGGAAATTAAACATCCTTCCAAGTCCATTCTTGAATATTACAATGATATTGAAGCCTCTAGCTGGGCTTTGGAGGGATGAAAATCGTGGAATCCCAGAAAGCAACATGTGCCCAGAAGGGAGTTTTGAGAACATTTGCTTAATTCCTTAAATATGGACTGTGTACATTAATGCACTTAATCATTTTTTCTTTTTAGATCCTGTTGGAGGCCATAAAATCTAGTGTAGAAAATGTGGTCGTTATAGGATAGTATTCTGGAAAAGGGGGCCACCATGTGTCTTGACAAAGGCTACACATCAAAGCTGTAACTGCACCTTTTCGTTCCAATTCCTTGCTTTAAAAAGCATTCTCATGTGATTTTCTTTCTTCTGCTTCTCTGTAGGCAGCTTCTGATACCTCAGAGGGAGAATGGGGAGATTAGGTGTTTCTGTTTGATATTTGTCTAAATAAAATTGGCAGATATTTAGGCTATGCTACTGATAAGTGATATTTTAATCACCTATAAAAGCCTTTGGGAATTTATTGGCTTGATTGGCACCTCTTTTCTGAGGAAAAGACCTTTGAAGGTCATGGATTGCTTTCACTTCCCATACATTTTGGGAGGCAACTATCACTCAGGTTGTCAGTCAGGCTGTGATCTCTAGAAGAAGGAATTGGCTCCCTACCATGAAAGAAATAGGCTGTCTAATTTTGAGTCTACTGTTGGTTTGTATTATTTCAGCCTACCCAAATTTCCCCCTCTCCCACCAGGCATGCCAGATTTCCTGGAGAAGCTGCACATGGCCACTCTTAAAGCCAAGAACATGGAGATCAAAGTAAAGGACTATATCTCGTCTAAGCCTCTGGAAACCGGTAGTGAAGCCAAGGCTACCACCCCGTCTTCCGAGCGGAAGAATGAGGGTAGTTGTGGCCCTGCCCGGATCGAGTACGCTTGAAGGGCTTTGGGATAAGAAGGGACAGGCTGCTTCTTAGCCCTGTCTCAGTCCCTTATCTGCTACAGAACAGGGACATGTATTTGAAGGCGTCTGCTGTAACCACCAGGGCAAGATAACTCAGTAACTGGTGTCCAGTTTCATTCAGAGCCCTTATTGCTCTTTATCAAAACAGAAGGAGGCATCCATGGGGGCGTTGTCATATTCTCAGGCCAAGCATCTTGAAATTCAGTATTTCACTGAGCTAATCTGGAACAAACCTCACCTCAGGCCAGAAGGGGACAACTTTTTTTTGCTTCCTCTGAGTGGTTTCCTCTGCCAAGGTTCCAGGTTCCACCATCGGTTCTGCAGCACTTGGGATTTCCTTCAGTTCTGAAGGTCCAACTGGAAAGTGCAGTTGGCTGGTTGAGTCTTCAGTGAGGGGTCACGGGGAGTGCTCTTGGTAACAGTTCTGGTGTTGAATGGGCATGAGCTGTTGGGCAGTGTAAGTGCCTTGTCCTCACCCTGCTTCTATCTTGGGGACGTCAGGTTTGTACCAGGAAATTTCTCTCTGCCTCTCAGTACCACCCTATTGACTCGCCCTACCCAAAGCAGTTTCCTTTGCATTGGTCAGTTCTTCTGTATTCATGGACTGTATTAATTTGGATCATCGCCTCCTTCCGTAGAGCTCATTCACCAAGAACACTGGGAAATGAGTATTTCAGATGGTAGTTTTCTGTGTCATCAATGTTTTGATAGGGTTAATGGCAGTTCTCAAAACATCACACTTTAGGTTTTTGTTTTTTTTTTTTAACCTTTGTGTCAAGTAGGAATTGGGAAATGGAATAGGATTTCTCCGTGGTCCCACTGTACAGAAGACACCATTTTGATTCAGGCATTTTTTTTCACACTTCAGGTTTGACTGGATGCTGAGGACTTGTCCATCTTGGAAGGCTAAAGGCAGAGCAGTGGGGGTTGGGCCACTCCCTTGGAGCTCTCAGAGCTGTAGACAAGCCGTGTGAACAAATAGATGTAATCTTCCCCCAGATACTGATATAATGGGGATGTGGTTTATCTGATCCTCTTGTTCCTCTGAAAATTTTTTCTCCCTCTCTTCAGAGTTAAAATGAAAGCAAACTACACTGTTTGGATAAAGTCTCAATCAGATGGTATCAGTTTGGCCTGGCTGATTTTGCTGTCATGTTGCAATCTGACAGGAGAATAGGGATCAAGTTTTCAATACTCCCTCCTCTTTTTTCCCTAGAATTTAAATGGCTGGATTTTTCCCTACTTGCTACCCTTTTGTGTTGAAAGGGGGATCTAAACCTCAGACTGACTTAAAGCCCTTGACATTTTTGTTGCCTGTTAAGTTTTGTGCCAAGGAAATAACTGCACCTGTCTTTTCATGTCTTGCCTTCTCTGAGTGGTTGGCAGAATGGAAAGATATGTCGACCAGTCCCAGCTTCTTTTTCATTGATCATTTCTCTCTTCCCATCCCCAGGACTTGACAGAAGCCAGGGAAAGTTTCCCTGGGTTACGTCTGAACTTAGCACCTGTGATTGTTAGGGCATGGATGGGTGTGGGCAGAGTGTGTGAGTGCACAGGTGTTAATGAGCTGTGTGTTGCTCATGTTCTGATTTTTGGCAACTTGACTCTGTACTTGGGGTCAGTCACTTATGTCATTGTAATGATTTCACTTCTAACTGTGACATTTTTATCAAATGTGTGAATAAATATATAAAGATTGGTACAAAAGAGTGTTTGTGTTTGGACATGTGGTGGTGGGAAATCTTGTATATTGGACTAATTGTTTATTCCTGATCAGAAAGTTGAAAAGAGTGTTTCTGCAGGGTTGGCTCGTGGAAGTAGCAGGGTGTGGTCGTCCTTGGTAGGGCTGACACACAACTAACCACTTTGCCTTGACCATGAGCCCTTTCCAGATGATTGGTTGGGCAACTGAAACCAAACCCATCTATTTCCGTTTCCTTCTCTTGATCTATTAACCCATATCCTTTGCTTTTAAAGAAGAATCAACTTGAGGAAATAGTGTTTGAGCTTTGCTGACAGTGAAACTTGGAAGGGAGCAAGGAAAGGAGAGGATTTGAGCAAGCCAGGTCTAGGCTAGGAGGCCGACCAGGGCTCTGGCTGGAGAGGGCGGGTGGTGAGCTCAAACCCCACTTGACTTGGTGGGAAGTAGGGTCACACAGGCAGTTTTGCTAGAGTGTCAATTTGTTGCAAGACAATTGATACATTAGAACTACTTTATAGAGCATAACCTGAATTTTGAGTTATGTGATTCTGCCTGTGGGAAACAATAGGTGAACACAAATGGACACCTGAACTATTAAAACTCTTTTCTCCAAATTGTTCTAAGATAATCACTGGAAAGCTGTCTTCTACTTGTAGATTACTTGTTAGACGTTGTAATGCTTATGGGTGCACATGTGTCTGTATAACCTTAAATTTGGAAAGTTGGTTCTGGCCTCTGTCCTGCTACAGAGGCCCATGCACGTGGCTTCCCTGACGTGGTTCTCTAGGCTCTGTATTAACACTTCCACTGAGAAACATCTGAGTTCTGAAAGCAACATTTCCATTGTTGGACAGCTGTGTCTTTCAGGAAGTTCTTTACATGGAGACTAAATGTGCCACCTCATCATCTACCAGTGGGTCAAGCGGGTCAAGCCCTGTCTTTGGAGCGACACAAGAAAAATGTTCCATGGGATAGTACTTCACATTCTTGAACAGTGCTCATGTGACCCTAACCTTTTCCCAGGCTTTATGTCACCAGCAGCTTCAAAAGTCCTCCCAACTCTGTTTTGAAAAATTAAAAGTAATAAAACCTTGTATACCCTTTCCCTACCATTGCTGGTTGTTAACTTGCTATGGTGTGTGCTCTGTCTTTATATATACATTTTGCTGTGGACTGAACTGTGTCTCCCTGATGCCCAATGTGATAGTGTTGGAGATGGGGCCTTTGGGTGATGAGATTTAGATGAGGTGGTGAGGGTGGAACCCTCCAAGATGGGATTAATCCCTTTATAAGAAGACACACCAGAGGTTTGCTTGTTCTCCCTCTCCACCATTGTGAGGACACAAGGAAGCTGTTGGCAAGCCAGGAGAGTGTTCTCACCAGGAACAGAATTGGGCAGCATCTTGATCTTAGCCTTTTAAGCCTCCCAAACCATAAGAAATAAAGTTGTGTTGTTTAAACTACCCAGTCTATGGTATTTTGTTATGGTAGCCTGAGTAGTTTTCATGACCTTTTGAAATTAAGTTGCAGGGGCGCCTGGGTGGCTCAGTTGGTTAAGCGACTGCCTTCGGCTCAGGTCATGATCCTGGAGTCCCAGGATCGGGTCCCACATCGGGCTCCCTGCTCAGCGGGGAGTCTGCTTCTCCCTCTGACCCTCTTCCCTCTCGTGCTCTCTATCTCTCATTCTCTCTCTCTCAAATAAATAAAATCTTTAAAAAAAAAATAAGTTGCAAACCACAATATTTCACCTCTAAACACGAGTATGCTTTTTTATAATAATGATGTTCTTGTAACTATACTAACTAGTAGCACATAAATAACATAAGTATCTAATATTCTTTGTTTTTAACGAATTATTGTTTAGAGAGTATGAGTGGGAGGGGCAGAGAGAGTTTTAAGCAGACTCCACACTGAACATGGAGCCCAATGTGGGGTTTGATCTCACATTCCTGAGATCATGACCTGAGCTGAAACCAGAGTTGGATGCTTAATGGACTGTGCCACCCAGGGGTCCATTGATACCTAATTCAGTCCATATTAAAATTTACCCAGTTGCCCCCCAAATGACTCGCAGCACCCCCCACCCCAAATCCAGGATCCAGTTAAGTATGCTGCGTTGTGTTAGTAGCTAAGTCAGCAGTCGTTTGTAATGTAGCTTCCTGGGTGCCTTCAGATAGTACGGTGTAGTGCAGTGGTTCTCAAACTTTGTACCTGGGAGCTTTGAAAATTCCTGTGCTGCGTTCTCACCCCAGACCAATTACATCAGTATTGCTGAGGGTGTAAGTATTGAATGTTAATGCAATCAAAAGATTTAAAAAAAATAGGCTACAGTCTCTTGATCTGCACACTTTGAATACAGGCTAAGATGTCATTAATTTGTCACCAGTCTTGTCACACTGTGGGCTTGGGCTTGGGATCAGCTAATAATAGCCACCATTACTGAGCACTTGTGATGCTGGACACCGTACCTCATGCTTTTGTGCAGAATCTCATCTCATCCTACCACAGCCATGTGAGTATGTAGCTATCCTTGTTTCATAAGCAAGGAAATGACATCAGAGGTTAAGGAATTCTCTTGCTCAAGGACACACGGGAAGTGACAGAGCCAGAAAGCAGACCTAGCTTTGAGCTCTCCAAAGACCCCTCTAGCAGCATGTCTTCACACTTAGGTTAGTTCCTCATAAATACTGTCAGGCTAGATTCCTTCCCAGGGTGGTTGACTTATTTTGGAACCTGGATCATAAGCTTTTTTCTTACCCATTCTTGTTAAATTTTATATGGTTTAAGCCCCCTCCTTACCCACTAGTTCCACCATCCAATTGCTAATTGGTGGTGCTGTTACTTAGAGTATCAGAAGCATAAACTTTCTTTCCTGGAAACTTGAGGATATATACCACTACCATGACATATGGGTTAATATAAAGGGATAGGGTGGTATTCTTGTGGACATCTTGTAGCATTTTCTAAAAATTTTTAGTTAAACAGTAACCAGTTTCTGTACTCAGCATGGTAGAACAGGAGTCGAAATTCCTTTCAGAATGTAAATATTCCTCATGAAATCTGAGAACTCTGATTTCTAATAAACTTGAAAGTAAAAAATTACAGCATGTGGATGGAAGTGATTTTTTTTTCCCCTTAAAATTTTAAGTAATTGCAATGTGGGGCTTGATCCTAGGACCCTGAGATCATGACCTTAGCTGAAATCAAGAGTCAGCTGCTTAACCGACTGAGCCACCCAGGTGCCCCTGGAAGTGATCTTAATGTAAAATGTATTTGTTCCTACAAACCTCAGTGGGTACTTGATAGAGCATCATTCCAAAAGAATCCCCAGGCCACACAGTGTCACAGTTGCTTTTTAATAACCTCATGGTTGATTGTGGTCCACAAATGCACTTAAAATTTTTTTCAGGTAACTTAGAAATGATCTAACTAGCATCTACTTTTAAAGAGCCTAACCATACCTAAAAATGGTAGGGTGGCTGCTTAAAAGTACTAATATTGATGTTTCTATGGTTTATGCATTTTCTCGTATCTTAAGACTCTGCTATGTGTGAGTCAGGATGATGTTCAGCCTTGAGGAACAGAAACCCAGAATCTGAAACAAAATGAATGGTCTCTTGTGAACATAGCCAGTCCAGGGCTGGTATCATAGCTTTGCAGTCTCTCCAGACCCAGGCTCTTGCTGTCTTGTCCCACCTTCAACATATGGGGGTCATGCGATTGCTCCATCTGAATCTCTGACAGACCCGAGCATTGTGTTCTGTTTCTGTCAGTGTTTTTCCTAAAATGTGGTGCCCAGGACCGGACCTGATTCTGTTCCCTGGCAGATGAACACTGTGAGGACAGACTGTGTCTGCTCATTGCCTGCTAAGTCCCCAGTGCCTCGGTGGGGCCTGCTCCAGTTCCAGCCATCGTGTGTGTGTTTTCCCGGTGGGAAGGAGAGCAGGGGAAAAGAGAATGTCCCTTCCCTTGAGGACACTTCCCAGAATGCCACACCGTTTCTGCATATAGACCGGTGGCCAGAATTTCATCAAAAGACCATACCAAGCTACTGAGAAATAGTCTATACATGGAGCAAGCATGTGCCCAGTTAAAATTCAGAGGTAATTTTGCTGAGTCAAAGAAGGAGAGAATGGAAAGGCTGGGGGCAATTGGCAGGCTGCCAAATTATAGCTAAAACAGACTTCAAAGACTGGATTATGGGACGCATGGGTGGTTCAATCAGTTAAGCGTCTGCCTTCGGCTCAGGTCTTGATCCCAGGGTCCTGGGATCGAGTCCCACATCGGGCTCCCTGCTCAGCTTTCCCTGCAGGGGGTTCTCTGCCCTGCTTCTCTGCCTGCCTGCCACTCCTGCTTGCTCTCTGACAAAATAAATAATCAACCAGTCTTCAGAGACTGAATTCTGTTAAGGCAAAAATGCCAGTAAATAAAATCTTCAAAGACTCTGGATTCAGTTAAAGCAAAAATGCCAGTAGATATTCTGGTTTGCTAGGGCTGTCACAACCACAAATTGAGTGGCTTGAACAACAGAAGTGTACTGTCTCACAGTTTTGAAGGCTGGAAGTACAGGATGAAGGTGTCAGCAGGGTTGGTCCCTTCTGAGGGCCGTGAGGAAGAATCCGTTCCAGGCTTCTCTCCCAGCTTCTTGTGCTTGGTGGCGATCTGTGCCATTCTGTGGCTTTCAGATACACCCCAATCTCTGCCTTCATGTCCACATGGTGTTATCCCTGTGTGTGCATGTTTATGTCCAAATTTCCCCTTTTTATAAGGATACCAGTCACATTGGATTAGAGGCCCACTCAGTTCAAGTATAACCTCATCTGTTTTTTTTTTAACTATTTTTAAGTAATTTCTATACCCAACATGGGGCTCAAACTCAACCCCGAGCCAGCCAGGTGCCCCCTTTTAACTTATTTAAAATAAATCCTACCCCCAACGTGGGGCTTGAACGCAGGACCCTGAGATGGAGAGTCACATGCTCTACCAACTGAGCCCGCCAGGTGT